TGATGTAATTTTCGCTAAAAATTGAAAAAATCTTCAAACGTATGCGAAGAGGCGGGTGAATGGGGGGACGGGCGGCAGCGTGGCTTGGGGTGCGTACATAAAATATGTTGCAACAATCTGTTGGCGTGTGTTGCCACTGACGATGATGAATGTTGCACGCATGCGTTGCACTGATTTGACGGACGAACGGACGGACGGACGGACAGACGGACGTACGAGCGAACGGCTCTGACAATCTTGTCACGGCGTGCTGCTAACTCCCGCTTGAGTGCGCTCCCAATTCCTGCCAGAAATGGAGTAAGTTCAAATCTAATCTATGCAGCTGGCAGAAACGTGTGCAAACCCAATGAACTCAGCTGTGGGCCAGACAGGGCTGCCACCTGCTATTAGGAATTGACTGAGCTACTTGATTTCAGAAGTCTTGCCAACTGCTGCTGAGGCCGAGGTAAAGATCTGTATGATTAACCGAAGTTTAGGAGACAATTCGAAAATTTATTCATCTGCCATTATCGAGCACCAGAGCTGCCACCTATGTATGTATATAAACAAAAAGTTGTACAGCGGAATGTGACCGTACTTTCAACGCTAACATGAGCCGCTGGCCAGAGAAGAGTGGTCTTTGGTCAGTGCCTGAGGTCCATTTGGGACATCTTTCAAAAGCGAATTAGTTGTTAGCTCATGATATAAAATAATAGATTAATAATAAAATCTTGACAAATTCCTTGAAGAGCTGCGCAATAAATGGGATGAACAGAGTTGCCATCTACCGCTAGCAAAGTTGCTGCCACCTAGTCCAAACTGTAGCTAACTTTTCACAGTAAATAACTTACAGTAGACAAAGAGAGCTTAGTATTCTTCGTCAAGCAAATTGGTTCAAATAGTCTCCCATATTCTAACTCCTCTCGCCATTGACTTCTTTTGGTTATCCACACCTAACCATTCTCAGCTAAGTCCTAAATCACGCTAAGATCTCTCAACTGTTAGAGACTCTTCAAATACTTATCCACTATCCACTCTCAGCTAACTCCCAATTCACGGTAAGACCTCTCAACTATAAGACACTCTTCAACTACTTATTGTCGCATCATTTCAGCACAATTGGCTAGCTAAAGTTCCATTTTTTCCCCGATATTTGTCGGCAACCCTCCCAAATCTAATGAAGCGCATGATGTCTGACGGATTTTCCCATAATTCTACCAGTCAAATTGATAGTTGACCGCAAGTTCCGTTCATGTACGAAAATGTACCCAATGTCTGTCGTAATGCTCATGGCTCATTAGTTTTCGCCTAATTTGAGTTGCAAGCGGCTTGTACGTCTGTCTGGCGCTGCCTTCTAATGGAATTCAATCAATTTTCATTTATTTCGATTACGAAATTCGCACCACCAAACAAATGGAGCTAGCCACTCCGGACAAGTCCCCCCCTCAGCGCCGGCAAGAGCCCGACCAAAACCATTTCGTGTCTGCAAATGGGCACTGAAAAATTTCTTAATTATCCTGACGTGCAGCCTGTGTGGAATAGCAGACGCAGGCGATGGCCAAGAAGGGGGCAGGAGGCAGGAGGCGGGCGAAGATGGTGTGAGCCCCTTGGTTGACATGCTTCATCAACATTTTGGTTGTGTTTTCTTAATGTTCCCCAGACAAAGCAAGACAAATGAGCAAGCATATCAAATACATAAAAATAAATATACTTGGAGTCTAACGAAATTCTACATTGAGAAGCGCCAAGAGAGGCGGTATCCGCCTCATAATATTACATGTACTAGAAAATAACACATTGAGAGGCGCAACGACTGATGATGATGCCATGAGAAGCGCAGAGATTGTAAGAAACAACAAATATAACAGCAAATTGTTTCCGTGAGAAGCGCAAAGAGACGTCCTAGAGCAGCACGAAAGCATTTTTGATATGATCTTCCTAGGCTCTGTTCGGTCCGTTGCGATGTCTTATGAAAACAATATGCCACAAACGTCAATGGGACAAATAAAATGAAATATCAAAAGGAAAGAAACTTGACCAAAAAAGGGTTTCGCCAGTGCTGGCAACGGCTTATAATCTGCTTATCAAAGGGTTGCACGGACGTAGGCTACCCTGAGAGTCCTTTCTAGCTAACCCAATGTTTTGCACAGAGGACTCCGTCCACAAATATGAAAGCACGTCAACAAGGAAGTGAAAATTCGATTTGCATTTTCTTGTGCAAAATGAAATGAAATTAAATTTTCCTCTTCATATCATTTATTGTTTTTGGTTTTCCTTTGAATTCGGCTCCATTCATATCACAAAGCAAAGGAAATATATTTACAAGCCCGCAAATTGATTTTCAATTTATAATTTAATTCAATTTTTGCAATTTAGGCCCCAAAAGCAACAAAAGCTCTGTCCTGCCACAACTACAGTTAACTCTGCCGAACACCTGCTGTCCAGTAATGCAAAGCAAAGTATTATACAACAGGTATCTGTCCAGATGAATCGCATATGTACATATAAGCGACGCACAAGTTTATTAAAAAATGCCAACATATTCAAAAACAGCATGAATGGGGAACAATTTTTTTTTAAATAACTGGCTGAATCTTGTATACACTCACATAATAGCATATTCAAGTGAAACTGTACATGAAAAAGTCTCTTGATCAACTGACACCAAAGGCTGACCAGGATAGGTTTCCTGGCCATAGTTAACAAAGCTTAGCTACAGACAATTATTAAAATAATATTAAAGTAGGGCGCGATCTTCTGCATTTTAGTTGTTTCCAAATTTTGGAACGCATCTTAGTTGTATCAATGGATGGGCCACTAGATTTATTGATATTTCTGTTAGGATTTCATAAATATTTGGAATTGCAAAATAAGATGGAAAGCTGAATGAACATTGCAAGAGATCGATATCCACTTAATATAATATTAATATTTTGTAATTGAGTAGGAAAAGCGCTTTCCTCTGTGATTCTCACACTTTTACCTATACATACAAACATACATATATAAACATATACTGAAATATCTCATAAGGTATTTGCAATTCAACAGAGTGTCACAAACCTCTCACGCAACTGCATATACCCTCAGCTGGCCAGGCAGGCAGGAAGAGGACCCTTGCAACAAACTGGAGGGACATCAAACAAATCTGTAAGTGAAATCTGCCTGCCCACTGGCAATGCGCTCCGAATGGAGGGAGGGGGAAAGCGCAAACGTAAGAATTGAACTCTGCGAATTGCGAATCGCGAATCGCGCCTCAATTATAATGAGAAAAGCAAACGAATTGGGAATAATTTTCAATTCACTTGTTTCCCACCTACATTCGTGGCGCTTTTTTTTTTGGCTTCATTTTATTTCGTATTTTCGGCAGCGATCCTCAGATATTTATGCGCCCTTTGTTTTCATTATTTTTATCGTACGGCGGGGCATTGCGCATTCATGCGAAACCCAAACGGACAATGCCTCGCGGCGCTGAGCTCCTTAGGTTCGGTTAGCTTTGTATGTATAATAAAGCTGTTAATTTTTTTGTGTGGGGGCGTGGCTTGTTTGGAGAGGATGTTCACGTAAGAGACAGAAAGAGAGAGAGAGATAGGATATGAAATAACTAACTTATTCGTCAGGTAATACCTGACTGCAATTGCATAATTATATGGTCTTTGCATTTTACATTCAACATCTAAATTCCAAATATGGGCTTAAACAAAAACAATGACAGAAGGACAAACAGACAGCCAGGCAGACAGCCAGGCAGACAGACAGACATACAATCAGACAGACAGATGGACAGGTCTAAATCGACTCAGCTCGTCGCTCTGATCAAAATTATATGTATGCATGTATATAATTTATGGGTTCTGGCACGCCTATTCTTCTGCCTATTACATGACTTAAAAAAAAAAAAAACAATTTACCCTGATTTTCCATTTAAAAATTTACAAATTATGTTTTTTATGTATTCGGTTTTTTTACTGACCAACAAAAGTCTTATTTTCCATTTTCAATGAGTTCAATAGAGAATAATATAAACTAATAAAAATATTTATTTAAAATAAAAAAAAATAATAATATTAATAATAATTTCATACAATATATATGATATAAATATTTAAAGGAATAAATATACCTATTTAAAATTTAAAAATAATATATAAATAATAATAATAATAATATATTTTTATAAAAAAATTATAAATAAATATATTTATTTCTTTATATATATAT